GCACACAGCCAGGATAACCAAGGAGTGGCTCCGTAAGAAGCATATCAAGGTTCTGGAGTGGCCTAGCCAGTCTCCAGACCTCAATCCAATACAACATCTTTGGAGGGAGCTTCAACTCCGCGTTGCTCAGCGACAGCCCCGAAACCTGACAGATCTAGAGGAGATCTGTGTGGAGGAGTGGGCCAAAATCCCTGTTGCAGTGTGTGCAAACCTGGTCAAGAACTACAGGAAACGTTTGACCTCTGTAATTGCAAACAAAGGTTTCTGTACCAAATATTAACACTGATTTTCTCAGGTGTTCAAATACTTATGTTCAGCAGTGCAAGACAAATAAATTCTTTAAAAATCATACAATGTGATTTCCTGAATTTTTTTTTTAATTCTGTCTCTCAGAGTGGGAATGCACCTACAATGTGAATTTCAGACCCCTCCATGATTTCTAAGTGGGAGAACTTGCAAAATCGCAGGGTGTTCAAATACTTCTGTTCCTCACTGTATAATGCTTCTACTTCTTTATTTTAGAGGTTCAGACATCTTCAAATCATATCTTGACTGTTGAAATCAGGCTTCTGTGTAGAGCTGCAACGACGCGTCGACGTAATCGACTACGTCGACCACGTAAATACGTCGACTTAAAAAAAAGAGTCACGACTTTTTTTAAAAATTGCCTACTGTCCACACTCCAGTTCACTACGTGGCGGTAATGCACCTTTTACACTTTGTTGCCACTCGCCAATAAACCCCACGGCAGAAGAAGAGGAAATACGTCACGACGCTGCATGATACTGGCTGCGTCCGAAACCGCCTACTACCATACTGTATAGTAGGCGAAAAGCAGTAGGCGAGGCGAGTAGTATGTCCGGATTCGTAGTATTCCAAAAACAGTAGGCGAAAATTACCCGGATGATCTACTGCTTCCGGCTGGATTTTGCAGTGTGCATGCGATGGACACTTCACTATCCCATGATGCCCCGGGAGAGGAGTTATCCAACGAAGACTTTACAGGCTCTTTAAATTTTCGCGCTGCTATGAAAACGTATGTCACGTGATGTATCAACATGGCGGATGTAGTACGTCCGAATCTCATTCATACTACCAGGCTTCATACTATACAGTACCTACTGTTTTAACGGTCAGTAAGTAGGTACTTCATCTCTTTCAGTACGTACTGTCGCAGTATGCGGTTTCGGACACAGCCACACACACCATACGTACAGACTGCTCACCGGTTATTCACACATGTTCTACGCCATTCACGTAACAGGCTGTTAAGGAACCAACAGATTGGGTGAATAGCTTCGCGGCCACACAGAAGAAGAACGGTACACTGAGGGTGTGCTTGGACCCTTGAGACCTGAATGTGGCTGTCAGGCGCCAGCACTACTCTATTCCAACCCCTGAGGATGTATGCAATAGGCTGGCCAGGAAGTCCCTTTTCACAATCCTCAATGAAAAAGATGGATATTGGCAGATAAAGCTGGACAAGCCATCTTCAAAATTGGGCACCTTCAACATGCTGTGGGGCCGGTTCCGCTTCCTCAGGCTGCCTTTCGGCATCAAATCAGCCAGCGAGGTTTTCCAGCAGAAGAACCACGAGACCTTTGGTGACATACAAGGTGTTCACATCATAGCCGATGATATGATCATTGGGGCATCCTCAGAGCAGGAGCATGATGACATCTTGCGTAAAGTGATGAGAGAGCAAAGACTGCCAATGTAAAGTTCAATTGCGAGAAAATCCAGTTTAAAGTCCACACAGTAAATTACATGAGCCATGTCATCCTGCCTGGCGGGCTGAAACCTGACGCTGTAAAGGTGAAAACGATGGTCGACATGCCGCCCCCAGATGATAAACAGGGTCTGCAATGGCTGCTGGGAATGACAAAATTCTTAACCCAGTACATCCTGAATGAAGCCTCACTGACAGCACCCCTGAGACAGCTACTCAGAAAGGATGCAATATGGCAGTGGAGCCCACACCACAGCGCGGCGCTGGAGAATTTAAAGGCTACCCTTACACAAGCCCCTGTACTGCGGTTCCACAATCACAACAAGCCACTGATGCTACAGGCGGATTCCTCCAAAGACGGGTTGGGAGCATGTCTTCTTCAGGAAGGGCGGCCACTGTGCTATGCATCACAAGCACTCACCGAGACTGAACAGAGGTATGCTCACCATAGTCTTTGCAGCAAAGAGATTCCACCAGTACATCTACAGCAGGGCAGTGACAGTGCAAACAGATCACAAGCTGCTGGAGATTATCACCCAGAAGCCGCTGAGCAAAGCACCGGCACGGCTGCAGCGCATGTCCCTGCAACTCCAGAGGTATGATCTGAATGTCACTTACACACTGGGCAAGCACATGTACATTGCCGACACACTGTCCCGTGCAGTGGCTAACACAGGAGCAGATATAAATGAAAACCCCTGTGATGAACAAGTGGTGTATGGCATAGAGCCCACAGATGCACTGAGCGAGGAGACACTCAGCCAGCTGAAGGAAGCAACTGCAGCAGACAATGTGTTACAAGCTGTGTGTGAGAAAGCCAGCGAAACAACGCAGCGTAGACAGAAGTCTACACAGCCACTGGCCAATGCGGCACAACGTCAGCCTGCAGAATGGTATTGTGATGGTTGGAGACAAAATCATAATTCCCCAGAGCTTTAGATGAGTGATCTTGAATAAGCTGCATTTAGGTCATCAAGGAGTTCAGCAAACAAAGGCTAAAGCACGAAAAATCCTCTACTGGCCCGGAATGGCACATGACAATGGTGCAGAAGTGTGTACCATGCCAACAGCTACAGCCACAGAACCAAAAAGAGCCACTCATCGCACATGAAGTTCCAGAACTACCATGGATGAAGGTTGGGGCTGACATATTTGAATTGAGAGGTCAGTCATACCTCTTGCTAGTAGATTATCTTAGTAAATACCCTGAAGTGCTGAACTTGCCTGATAGGACAGCTCCCACAGTCATCCAGAAAATGAAGGCTGTCTTTGCCAGGAACGGTATCCCGAAAGAGCTGGTAAGTGACAATGTCCCATTTGCCAGCTATGAGATGAAATCCTTTGCTGCCTCGTGGGAATTCAAGCTCACACACTCCAGCCCAGGTTATCCACAGTCAAATGGGCTAGCCGAAAGGACCGTAAAGACTGTGAAACATGCGCTGAAAAAAGCACTGGAGTCAGGCACAGACCCACATCTGGTGCTGCTGTTGCTGAGAAACACACCAGTGACAGGACTGAACATGTCACCAGCACAAATGTTAATGGGCTAGGTCCTGCGCAGCACACTCCCATGTTCTAGTGTTGTTCTACAGCCCCACAGACCGTGCGCAGCAGGCTACAGGACCTGCAATCAGAGAGCTGAGCCACGTTCTTATACTGTGCAGACACCTGCAGGAAAAGTGTTCCAGAGGAACAGGCGTCATCTCTGTAAGATACACCCAACTGTATGGAGAGACACTGACCCTGATGACCATTCAGAGGTAATGCTTCCTCAGATACCCAGGTCAGCCGACCCTGTGCCACGAGACCCTTCAGGGAGTACTGACAGCGCTCCTAGACGCCACACCAGAAGTGGCAGTGTGATCAAACAACCTGCCAAATACAGAGATTATGTTATGGACCCTTGACTGTTTGTTGTATTGCAGTGTTGCTTAGTGCAGCTACAGAGAGGGTTGAAGTGTGTTGTATGAATAACAACAGTGAAAAGAAAACAAACGGGAGGGCTAAGAGTTTTTGGTCGATGTCCTAGTGAACTTTAATAAAAGGTATTGTTTACTCCAGAAGTTATAGTAGGAGTTAAAGCAACTCGAAGAAGCTGATCCATATTTCATATCTCAGTCTAGAAAGGGGGCATGTGGTGGATTTCATCGAGCACTCGGTGCTCAGCATTGTTTCACTGCTGCTGATTGATTGCTCATGACTTGATTCGTCATGCCCGTATTGTTATGTTCCGGACAAGCACAGTAAAGAGTACTACATCTGAAGTATAAGTGTGGTGTCCGTGTGCTATTACAGAGCCACGTTGATAAATGAAGTACTCACCTACATTCATAGCAGTACGTTACTGCAACAGTAAAGATCACAACATAGTGTCAGAAGAGCAGAGTTAACGCTGCGGGGCCAACCATTTTCTTTCGTTCGGAGCCTAAAATCGTTTGCCCGGGGAGCGGATTATGTTTCTGAGTACCTGAAGTAAAGACCAACGAGTTAAGGTTTGTTTCGGAAACACTGACTCACTCTTTCTATCATTTCTGTGTGTTTTTTCATCGGGTTAAGTGGACACTGAGGCTCGGCTTACTAACGTCAATTTCTTGCTAGCTTAATTAATTTAGCGCTTTAACATCATGTAAAATATTCCCTTTGCTGATATGTCGACTGTGAATAAAAGGATGGAAGTGAAAGGAGCTGTGAAAAATCATAATTATGCCAAACAACATCCTCTGAAGAATCTCCTAGTAATAGCCCACGAAAAAGTGCACTGCGTCGCGAGGATCCCTCAAATGCTGTGCTAGCTGCAGTTAACAAGATTTCTGACTCACACGGTTCATAGAGAAATCTGACACGATAAAGAAGAGGATAAATGTGTTTCTTACAAGAAACACATATATCCTCAAGTGACAAATCATTCTGGCATAATCAGTGGGGAGGGAGGGCTATAATTTCACATGGCTCAAACTTCTCAAGTGATATCTTAATACTCTTCCACCTGAAATATAATGTGCATATGTTATATACAGAGATGTCAGATGCTGGCAGATGGATCTTGGTGATAATTAAATCTAAAGACAAATTGATTTACTTTAGTAAATGTGTATGGTTTTAATGTTATGAATTCTAATGTCTCTAGTCTAAAACTTGGTGGAAAAGATCTTGAGGAATGTTGCTGTAATAATTCTCATATCAGAAATGTACTAAGCTCTGCTCAGAGCAAAGATCCAAGTTCTTCTTACTGATGGAAAGATGTTTCCTGACATCAGCAAGAATATTTGGACTGAATTTAACATTTTTTTTGTTGCTAATAAGAATAAAGAAATTCATAAGATTTTACACAGATAATATCACTGCAATGAATCACCACTGTAGACCAGATATTTCTCTTTTCCTTTTGCAAAAAGGAACTGGAGTCCTTATCTCATTTATTTTATTCCTGCACTTATTCAAATCACTTTTGGATCCAAATTTCCTTATTAATTTGGCAGTCATAAGACCTTGATCCCAATTACAGCACCCTGGTGAAGGAGTTTCAATATTTAAAAAGAAATTACAATTTTACAAACCCCAATTCCAATGAAGTTGGGACATTGTGCAAAACGTAAATAAAAACGGAATACAATGACTTGCAAATCCTTTTTGACCCATATTTAATGTTCAAACTGATAAACTTTTGTTTTTTGCAAATATTCACTCATTTTGAATTTGATGCCTGCAACATGTTCCAAAAGAGCTGGGACAGGGGTATTTTTACCACCGTGTTACATCACCTTTCCTTTTAACAACACTTAATAAGCATTTGGGAACTGAGGACACTAATTGTTGAAGCTTTGTAGGTGGAATTCTTTCTCATTCTTGTTTGATGTATGACTTCAGTTGCTCAACAGTCCCAGGGTCTGGGTTGTATTTTGTGCTTCATAATGTGCCACACATTTTCAATGGGAGACAGGTCTGGACTGCAGGCAGGCCAGTCTACTACGTGCACTCTTTTACTATGAATCCACGTTGTTGTAACACGTGCAGAATGTGGCTTGGCGTTGTCTTGCTGAAATAAGCAGGGACGTCGCTTGGGTGACAGCATATTTTGCTCCAAAACCTGTATGTACTTACACACCCCATATCATCACAGAGGCTGGTTTTTGAACTTTGCACTGATAACAATCTGGATGGTTCTTTTCTTCTTTAGCCTGGAGGACACGACATCCATGATTTCCAAAAACAATTTGAAATGTGGACTCGTCAGACCACAGCACACTTTGCCACTTTGCATCAGTCCATCTCAGATGAGCTCAGGCCCAGAGAAGCCGGTGGCATTTCTGGGTGTTGTTGATGTATGGATTTTGCTTTGCATGGTAGAGTTTTAACTTGTAGATGTTGCGATGAACTGTGTTAACTGACAATGGCTTTCCGAAGTGTTCCTGAGCCCATGTGGTAATATTCTTTACAGAATGATGTCTGTTTTTAATGCAGTGCCGCCTGAGGGATCGAAGGTCACGGGCATTCAGTGTTGGTTTACAGCCTTTACACTTGCGTGCAGAGATTTCTCCTGATTCTCTGAATCTTTTGATGATATTATGGACTGTAGATGATGAAATACCTAAATTCCTTACATTGAGAAATGTTCTTAAACTGTTGGACTATTTGCTCATGCAGTCATTCACAAGCAATCCTTGCTTGTGAATGACTGAGCCTTTTGGGATGCTCCTTTTATACCTAATCATGACACTTACCCGTTTCCAATAAACTTCCAACCAGGTTTTTTTTTTTTTTGGGCATCCCCCAACTTCCCCAGTCTTTTGTTGCCCCTGTCCCATCTCTTTTGGAATGTGTTGCAGGCATAAAATTCTAAATGAGTGAATATTTGCAAAAAAGCAAAGTTTATCAGTTTGAACATTAATTATCTTGTCTTTGTGATGTATTCAATTAAATATGGGTCCTGCAGCATTCATGAGACTGCCTAACTAGACATCCTGTCTACTCTAAACATTCCTAATACAGCAAGTATCTGACCAATATCTATCTGACTAAAAATACCTAACAAGTCTTGCTGTGAACCAGGGCTTGTTGTTGTTGTTGTTGTATGTGCAGAATGACTTTTTGGGCACACACACATCCTCACAAAAGCTGATATAAGATGTCACAGTGTCAGTGAGTTTGTCCAGGTCTGTAGCTGCAGTTTCAAATACACTCCAGTCTGTGCAGTCAAAGCAGGTCTGTAGCTCAGGCTTTGCCTGTTCAGTCTCTGTAGCTCTGACTTTGCCTGTTCAGTCTAGCTCTTTGCTGTTTTGACCACAGGCTTCACAGCTTTAGGTTTCTGCCTGTAGATTGGAGTAAGATGGCCCATACAGTGATCAGAGAGTCCAAGGGCTGCACGGGGGACAGAGTGATAGGCATCTTTTATTGCTGTGTAGCAGCAGATAACACAATCACTACAGATAAATTGATTTCTGTCCTGTCCGTGCTCAAATTGAACACTAAAGTGGACGTTTGGACGTAGTTGAAGCATCTGCTACTGTATGTAGCTGTATAGGAGAGTACATATCAATTTTTTATTAAGTTCCATATGTAGCCTATGTAACGTTAATGTATGATTGATAATGAGCGCGATGCTCCCAAAATGGTGCATTTACCCAAAAATCAACACAGTGTGACGGCAACCTCTCACATACAGTCTATGTGCCTGGATTTTTGAGTCGGGACACAAACCCATAATTTATGCAATTTAAATTGGTTACATTTTGAAGTTCATTGTTATATTATTCTGATCTAGTGACATTGGTCTGAAAATTGTCTCAGAAATAGATTGCATGATTCATGTTAAGTTGTTAAAGTGGTTTAACAATTGCAGTCATAGACTGTGTAACCACAACAGAGCTAGCAGTCAGGGAGTGGTACTAAGTAATCACTTGAGATTGATTAAGAGACTTGTCCTGAGTGTCAAGAGGCTGTGATTTCAACAAATAGCTGGGGGACTCTTCTCCATGTCACTATGGCAACTAACTGACAACAAAGCCAGGCCTAATTCTTGCCCTCACCACAGCGTGTGCCAATCTTAATAAAATGGGGGGGCTTGCTTGACAACCTTCATTCCTTTTTTGATACAGATACAAGTGATTTTCCTGGTTTTTCTAGCTTTTCTTTATCTCCTCCTGTCTCTGGCTTTTTCCGGCAGAGGGGAGATGACGTCTCCTGCCACTGGCCAGTCGGCCCTCCTTTCAAACCTGGAGTCTGGGATGGGGAAGTCTGCAGCCATGCTGGGGCTGTCTGCTGGTTTGGGGGGAGCTGAGATGGAGCTGCAGAAGATGCTCATTGATGAGAGGATGAAGTGTGAAAACCACAGGACAAATTACCAGACACTCAAGGCTGAACATGCCAGGCAAAGTGAAATCTGATTTTATAGTTTGTTTTTTGTGTGTGTGTGGGTGTGTGTGTGGGTGTTCTTTATCTGTTATTTAGTTTGCATTTGATTGGAGAATTATGAAGAAACAATGAGTAAAATCCTAGCAAGTAGAGTAGACTGACATTATATTGTATTGATGTTATAAGGTGGTGGTGGTGGGGGGGGTCTCATACCCAACAAAATATCAGCTCTGATACAGAGAATTTTATTTATGTATGAAAGGTCTATAGACATTAGACAGGGAATCATTTGAATGAAATAGAAATTAGAAAATGCAATTAACTATAATTTTGTCCATCCACGGTGCTTCGTATTTTCTCATGTAGTTCCGGCATCTGTTGGTACTTTGATTTGTGCTCAGTCTCAGCCCTGGTGTCTTCTTTTCACAGCCTGCAGGATGAGTTTATGCGGGTGAAGGGCGAAATGAAGCGCCTGGTGAATGACAAGCAGGCTCAGCAGGAGAAACTGCAGCTGCTGCTGGCTGAGCTGCGAGGAGAACTACTGGACAAAACCAGGGAGCTGGAGGAATTTCGGATGCAGGTACAGAAGCTCAAGAAGACAGGCAATCTCACACAGTGAAACTTAATTCCTGTGCTTTTTTCTCCCCAAAAATGTATATTCTTACTTGGTTGGTGAAAGTATGGAATCTAGTTTCCAGACCAAAAAAAAAAAGCCACATATTTCTGATGCGCACCCAAACGTCCACTGACTTTCTGGATACAAATTTGTGTGTTTGTGTGTGTTGACCAGGTGATGACCCCTCAGAGGCTGGAGTTGCTCAGAGCTCAGGTGCAGCAGGAGATGGAAGCTCCAGTCAGAGAGAGGTTCAACAAGTTGGAGGAGGTCAGCTTCAGTTTATAAGTTTTAAAAATGTTTTTTTTTTTTAAATGAGAAGTTGCCAGTGTCAAGCACCAGTCAGTTTTCTTTGTCTTAAGAGCTGTTGACTGCAGCACCTATGAGCGCCAACACTCGTGTCATTTATAGAGCTACACCCCATTTTCTGCTGTATTAGTTGTGCTTTTCAATTCACCTTGTCATTTTGTAATGCATTTGGATATGTTGCCATATAATATAGTGCTTACAGATAGGAAATCACTGAACAGTGAAATAATGTTAAGGGATGTTCCTTTGTGTTTACCTTAATGAATTATGTCACTTTAAGGATTTGATGTTAATGTATATGAAATTGCTGTTAATATCCTGTGCTAAATTAGTGGTAGAAGCTGTGACTGTTGAGTCCATAGCAACAGTTAAGAGATTAACATTGACTGTCTTTTGAAAAGCATTTGAAAGTCTGTACAATCATGGGAATAACGGCTCATTTCCATTTTGTCTTCCTGGTTGCTGTATCTCTCCTCTCACTCATTCGTGGTTCTTTATAGGAGACAGAGAAGTACAGGTCTGAGTACAGCAAGCTTCGCTACGAGTACACCTTCCTCAAGTCTCAGTTTGACCACCAGAGAGAAGAGCATGTTCGTATACTCGAGGAGAGGAGAATACGCTATGAGGCAGAGGTCAGTTTGTGTGCATTTCAAAATGCCTGTGCCAGTGACAGACATAAATACAAATGTAAAAAATGAGATCTAAAATATCAGCTATCCTGTTGTTATGTAGATCTCTCATCTGGAGAAGGACAGGGAGGATCTGGTGGCTCAGTATAAGGGTTCGGACCTATTGCGTGATGTGAAACGAGTAGAGGCCCTGCTGAGGGAGAAAGCCCAGCTCCACTTGCGGCTGAAGGGACTGGAGGCAGAGGTGGCTGAGCTTCAAGCCCAGAAAGAAAACTGGGGTCACCAAGCTGAGAATGTGCAGCGTACCCAGATCAGAGAGCTAACAGAATCTCAGGCTGCAGTGAAGTCATTGGAGGTGAGACAGCAGCAGGCCAACTGTCATGCGACTGGACTTGGGATTAGGGCAGGGTATCATTTCAAAATCTAATCGAATCTACCGGTTTCTAAACAATACTGTTTTGATACCAATTTTATCTTTTATATACATGTGTATATATACGCACACACACACACACACACACACACACACACACACACACACACACATACACTCACACTCTTTACATTTTGGTACATATCATTAATTCTAATTTTCAGTTCCCTTGGAATTGCCTCTACCTCCTGATCCACAGGAGGTAGAGCGGTCATCCCCCCAACCAAGTAAATCATTGTATTTTAAAATGAGGTTAAGGTTAGGCAAGTAGTAGCTATGTATTAGGGTTAGGGTGAGTCTCCATGAAATGAATGTAAGTCCCTTAATGTTCCTTAAAGTGTTGGAAACACAAAGTGTGTGTGTGTGTGCGTGTGTGTGTGTGAGCTGGCGCCGCAGATGGCTGCCTCAGTTCTGTACCAGAGACAAATTCCTTGTAACATACTTGACCATTATCATTTTTGTGCACTCAAAGCAGTTTCATAACATAAGAAGTAAACCTATTTACCACAACCTTAAGTTCTGTTAACGTTAACATCAATAAATAAAAATACTGAAATACTGATTTTGATACTCAAGCATCAAAAAATGATACTCAATGGTATTGAAGTAATTTCATCAATACCATAAAGCCCAGCACTACTTGGGATTAGATTTAAATTGCACTTTTTTGCAGATCAAATTTACACACGTGATGATTGTTTTTCATTTTGCACTATGATTTTGTTAAAAATATTACATAGATTTCAATCTAATTTTATTTTTTTCCTGGTGACCGTTGGGTCTGATTGGTTGTTGGTTCGACAGGCAGAGCGTCAGTCACTGCGTCTACAGCTGGAGCGGATGGAGAGCGAATTTCATCTGAGCCACGAGCAGAATAGCCAGCTCACCGCAAGACTGCACAAAGCTGAGCGAGAGGTCAACTCCTTTACCTCTCAGGTACACTTGCCCTTTGACCTCTGAGATGTTCCAGCGATCATCTGTGGTTTTCATGCCAGGTTAGGTGTGGGGGTTGTGATGTGTCAAGATGGAAAGTTTTGTTACTAACAGAGGGAATGCAATTTTTTTTTTTCCTCTGCAGATTTTGTTCCATGTTTTTATTTGTGTTTGTCACAAGAATTTCGGTGTGTGTGTGTGTGTGTGTGTGTGTGTGTGTGTGTGTGTGTGTGGTGGTCATGAAAAGACTAAAATTCATATTTGGTTGGAATGTTTAGAGATACTTTATCTGATTGTTGGGTGAATCTTGTACAATTGCAAAAAAGAGTAGAATGCTAAACAGACATTTTTAATAGTGTCCAGCAGATGTCACCACTCTGTCATTGCTTAATTATCATTTGTCTTTTTCTGGTTCTCAGATCGAAAGCCTGAAACATTCACATAAGCTGGAGATGGCCAGCGTCAAACTGGAGTGTTCCCGCTCTAAAGCGGAGGTGGAGAGGGAGAGAGACACACTGCAAGCCCAGATTGATGGTATGGAACACACACACACACACACACACACACACACACACACACACAAAACAGTGTGTAATCCCACCATGCTCATCTCTTTGCAGTGAGATGACCAGAGGTTCTGGCTTTCTGTTCCTCTCTGTCTGCTGTCTCACAGTCCCCTTTTGTTTCGTATTGAGTCCTTCTTGTTATGACCATCTTTATATCACACACAGAACCATCTTGGCACTTAATGTATGAGACTTATTACACCTAATTTTCCACTTCTCTTTATTTGAAATATTGCTTATTTTAAAACTTGTATTTTACCTTTTCATTTATTAGAGACTGCAAAGGCAAATTCAGGGTTTATTTTATTTAAGAAAAAATTCAAAATGTAGTCCAGACTGTCATGTCTTGAAGCTCAGATAATTTGCCTCTGAATCTGTAAGTATGTATTAGCCTGTCTCTTCATTGCCCTCAGACTCTCATGGTACCCTTTCCCTCAGGTCTGCAGACAGATGTGGAGCTGCTAAAAGCTGCAGTGGAGCAACACAAAGAGGTCCTGGTGGAGAAGGAGAGGGAGATGATGAGGAAGGTGCAGTCTGCGCGTGAGGAGGAATTCCAGAAAATTGCGTCCTTGCATGAGGAAAAGTGAGAATCGCCTTCATTTTATATCAACTATCAAAAACCAAGCTGCACTTACCAACTTGCTCATATATCTAGCAAAGAGCATCATTTCACTGCCTTATTGGCATTTCTGTCCTGTCACTCTAGAATTTGAGTTTCTCTGCTGTTTACATCTTTTCTGACAGTTTTCCTTCACCTGAGAACATTTTCATATTTTAATGTTGTTAGGTTGGAGGTAGAGAACCGTCTTGCAGCACTAGAACAGCAGAGAGCCCTGCAGGATGCTGCGGACCACGCCCAGAAGGAGGAGTGGGCGGAGCATCTTCGCAGCACCCAGCAAGGAGAGGAGTCATCCCGCAGAGAACTGCAGAACCTGAGGTCAGCTTTGTGTTGAATGTTTAGCATAACAAGAGATGCATTGGGTCCTATTCACACAGAACAGTGAGAGTTTATCAAATACACTGCATCTGATACTATATGTAAAATCACCAAATATTTTCTATTCGCTTGGGTGAGTGCAGACTCAGCTGCTTTGTATTAATGTCAGATTGGGGAAATTATCAGATATCTGCATGGTCTGATAGGTTAGGGATGGCAACTAGCACCTTGCCTAGTGCAGTCCAGTTGGATGAATGTATTTATGTGTTTAAAGTTTATTTTAACATAAAAAAGGCCAGTGGTTTGTAAAACGTTTAGGTTGTGACCATCATGAAGTAAACAGGTGAAATACAGTCTTTGCGTTACAAAGTACATTAAAACCTTGCGATTGCGAGTATAATTCGTTCCGGCAACGTGCTTGTAATCCAAAGCACAACTAATACAAGTATGTCAAAGCAAAATTCCCCATAAGAAATAATGGAAACTCAGATGATTCGTTCCACAACCACTTATCCATCCAAAAATGATTACAGTAATACAAAATATAGTATAAAGTAAAAATAAAACAAATTACCCTGTACTTTACCTTTGAAAAGAATCTTTTTTTTTTTTCTTTTTTTTTTGTGCAACTTTAACAAGGAACTTTTCCAATGACACTTGCTTTTGCCTCCTTTTAAAGATTTGGCAGAAATGCGAAATTGTCATTAAACGGATTTATCATTCGTACTGCTACAGCCTTATTCAGGTGGTGCTTTCCTATAATATTTTGCGGTGTTTCCCACATTTTACACATCTCCCTTATAAAATCTTGAGATGTCGGCCACTCGCATACCTCGTTCATGCTTCTCAATGATTTCCTTTTTAACTTCCACCGTAATCACCTCCTTTTTCTTACTGCCTTTCTTTTCAACCTTTATTTTTTCTTCATTGGGGCCATTGTTGCAGTACAGATGTTGACTATACAAGTGAGGCGCGAGAACCATCGGCTCAGTTGTGACGTGACGCTCAGCAAACAAAGCGTACGTACTACTTGTATTTCAAGACCTCACTCATTTATCAAGTTAAAATTTATTTTAAAAAATTTGCTCGTTTTGCAAAACACTCGCAGACCAGGTTACTCGCAATCCAAGGTTTTACTGTAATGCATGTACTGTATGTGATTGGCTGACAATGCCAAGCACATACACTTTAAATCTGCTGTGGTGGCATTATGTTAGCTTTAGGATTACGATACCATTAAAGAAAATATCTGTGCATATAGAGGCCACTGACTATTTAGATTAAATTTAGATGAAAGCAAATAAGGGTGTGACATGACACAATACATGCACCCGCTACCAGCCTATGTGGTTGGCAGTGTTGCAACTTGAGAAACCAAAAGGAAACTTCACCCTCTTTGCCCTGGTTTCTGTTCCTATGTAGAATAGAAACCAGGGCACAAGAGGTCAACTACCAAAATAAATGGAGTTTGACTTGGCCTGCATTTTTTTGAGAAAAACATAACAAAATAGATAAGTAAAGCTTTTCTGCATGGTGGCAAAATATTTAATGTTTTCTTTTATACAGAACCAAACTCCAGCAGCAGAGCTCACAGCTTCAGGAGCTGGAGAGACAGAAAGCTGAGATTACTGACTTACAGCAAGTAAGTCAACACAAACTCTTATAACTCCTGCTGTTAATGTTGGTATGACAATAAAGAGAGCGAGAGAGACACACACACACACAAACACAGGGGACATTGTGTGCTTTAAATAACTGTAATTGTTTTTGACCCAACAGCACAACCAGGATCTGGGTGTCCAGCTGGGGACACTGTCACACTCTGAAAGGAACCTGATGGAGACAAACAAACAGCTGAGAGAAACCCTGGACAGAGTCAGGGAGGAGCTGCAGGTGGCCCGAGCCCAGGCTGAGCGAAGCCAGCATGAGGCAGAGAGGTACATCTGCTGCTCTGTCTTCAAAGAAACAAGCAATTGTTCACTCTTTCTGCTGTCTCTTTATTTTGTCTATATTATTACTAACACCAAATCATGCTTCTTAAATAACATAAAACTGTAATTACTTCTCTTTAAAAACACTTTTTTTTTCTCCATGTGTTCTTCCTCCAGGTTGGTGGAGGACCATCGAGTTGAGTGGTTGGAAGAGAAACACAAGCTGCAAGAGCGAGAAGCCGAGCTGCAGCAGAAATATTCCCAGGTCAAAGAGAAACTGCAGAGGGCAGCAGTGGCCCAGAAGAAGGTACTGCTGCTCCCATAATACTTTTTACTTCAGAAGTTTGTAAATGAGCAACATTTTAGCTCCTCAGAAGTTTATAGACACACTGGGTACATCCTGAGTCTCTAACAGGATTGTTCCTTGATTGATCCAGATTTTTTTTTTTTTACCTGCATCTTGTCTTCACATCTTACTTGGGTGGGACTAAGATGCAAGTGAGGGAAATGGTGGCATTTAAGAGACTCTCATTTTATTCAAAACATGTTTAGTACAGTTTAGTTCTTTTCACTTTCATGTATGTGTAGAGTCTCATTGCATGTGCTTATTTTGACCATTCATTTGTTTACACAAAATAATAAACTCAAATGATTTTAAAAGATGCTTAATTTTATCATTGTGTAAGATGCAGCTAATTGTGTGTGCTATGCAGAGGAAAACGCTGACAGAGAACAAAGACAAGAAACTGCAGGATAAGATCCAGCTGCTGGAGGCCAAGATAGAGGAGCTGGAACTGGAAGCTGCTGCAGCCAAAAAGTACATTTCACCTTTTCTGCATTTTGTAGTCAGTATTGCGTAAAAACACTTAATAATATTAGACAATTTAACAGTCATACAGGAGATGTTAATAGTAGAGAGCTGCAGTTACATTTTGAATACCCCCCTCCCAGACATTCATCCTTCTCAGAGGAGCAAGCTCAACTCAGCAGACGGTTGAAGGAGCTGCAGCGACGACACAACGAGTTTCGCCGACTCCTATTGGGTGCTCAGGGTCCCTTCAGTGCTGGCCCTGCCTTCCTGGCCTCCTCACCCACCCCCTTCCTCCTCCTTGGGTCTGAGGGATTGATGTCTAACATAACTGTAAGTTTTTCCATTGTCCGGCACTAGAGGTGTGCCATATCATACCGTCCACAATAACACAGGTATAAATTTTGACATGATAAAGTATCATCTCACAATATCATTGATATAGTGACACAATGACATATGATGCATTTACATTCTCTAACGCGCACAACAACAGCACTAGTCTAATGTCTGAGTGAGAGCAGCATGTCAGCCTCTGACGATTTAGTACCTAAAAACTGAGCTACTCCAATAGAATATGGAAGTGGTTTGGCTAAAAGAGGTCAGACCTCCAACAAAGCACAATGCTTTGCAAAAATGCAAGAAAACTAACTGCTAAAGGTGGAAACACAACCAACTTGTTTCACCTTTTGAAGCTATAACACACCATTGAGCATAACCAGACTTGAAGGCATGCAAGGAGGGGGTACTGGCAGCTGATGATGTGTGGCCCAAAAGTAAACAAACAACTCAACCAAGCATCACTGCTGCAGACAGTGGATGGAAATTACTGATGTATTGACATATTGTTTGGCCAAGGATATGATGCCATTCTAAACAGCGTTAAGCAAGTGGTTAAAAAGCTCAACCTAAGATTCAACATCTCGCGTAGAAAATATTTTTCAAAGACATCCTTGCCTGAGATATATGAAGCATGCCCTGACAAACTAGCAAGTACACTGTCGTTTATGGAGTTTTTTTGCCTCAAACCACGGATGTATGGTCGAGCCAAACCACAGAACCATACTCACCATACATCAACAACAACTAGAAGCTATACATCTCCTTCCTTGAGACAAGTTTCTTTCCCTGAGGCTCACATGGGTGAAAATATTGCAAGTGGTAGGAGTTTCTTAACTCATGGCACTTAGAAGAGAACAGGTGTGTGTGACAACAGACAGTGGGGCCAGTGTTGTTAAAGCTGTGTTCTCAACAACTTAACCAGAGTGTCATGCTTTGGCCATCGTTTGCACATTGCTATTGGTAAGTTTCATTTACAGTATAAAAAAAAAACAAAGCATGTTCATTGGAAAAGAAGAATGGAAAATGTCCTTCACTTTGCTTGCACTGATAAATGCTGCTGCCTGCAAGCTACAGTCACTGATAAAACATTCAGTACTTTCTATATTGTCATAAATACCATTATCGCAAATTTCCTTGAAATATATCATTTTGAGTGTATATCACCCCCAGCCTGCACTGTAGATGAGTAATACCACTTGCATAAACACAAAACAGCTACAGCTAAAACTCCATCCTAGAAGAGATACACGTAGACCAATTTCTACACCCACAGCAGGAGGAAATATTTCAGAACACCAGCTGAATTTTGAGGAAGCTTAACTCCCCAACAAGGAACAGGGTGGTGCAATTCAAAGGAAACTTAATCTAGAATCACATTTCAGTGTAAATACTGTGGTAACTTAAAGTTCTTGCACAGCATCAAGTCTTTTTAGCCAGTGTGCACAATCAAATAATCTGTTCTGCAGATAGAAACAAAAATCCCACTAACTGCTCATCATTTGTATTCACTTTAATATCAACCTCCATGTTTCAGGCCATAAACTTTCATCAGGAAATATACATGGTCTGCAGCCTGAAATGTTGACATTGATATTAAAGTAAGTACAAGTGATGAATATTGTGTGGAAGTTGTTTTGTTTTTGTCTGCAGAATATAATTACTGTACAAAGCATCTGTACTTACAAAAAGGACCGCATGCCACAAATAAACATCCATGGTGAAGCGTGACTGGTAAACCACAGTGACAAATCTGAAGGCAGAGCAGCTTCACCACAGTGAAACCAGCAAGTGACAAAAATGTCAAGTTTGTTTGCTAAAGTGACTGAACACAGCCAATGACATGCAAATACCTTTCGTGCGTGTGTGCACATGTTTCTATGGTTACGTGGTAAATGGTCTTACATAGTGTTTTTCTATGCATTGTTGTGCACTAAAAGTGCTTTACACCATTTCCCATTCACACACAAACACACATTCATACACAGGTGTGTTATCATTGAGAGCTAGAGGTTCAGTGCCTTGCTCAAGGACACTTTGAAATGAGGGCTGGAGAAGCCAGATATCAAACTGCCACATGTCTATCTGTCTGGGAGACAACCCCCTCTACTTCTGAGCCATGGCTGCTCCAAATTTTAGTTCAGTACCAACATTATGAGGATTTTCTGGCTAGTCCTCACAACTTCAAAGGGCTGTGTGAGTGTAAGGGGCTAGGAAATACATTATGTCAGTGAGTGGCTTCACAACTGTAGAAAGTTAGATGTGTGTGTGAGAGAGGCATACGAAGGTAGAAGCACACATTAATGCAGTAACAGCAGTACAGCTGTCCTAACAGTTCCTTGCTTTTCTCCTCACTCTTGCAGGAGGAGCAGCATCAAAGGGAGCTCTCTCTGCTGCGTCGAAGACTGGAGGATCTGGAAAGTGCCCAGCAGCAGCAACTGGTGGAACTAGGATCTCTGGTGCAGAGGGACCAGGACTCCACTCCCCATCCTGATGTCTGACCCCCTGCTTTACTTCCTGTTGGACATGGAAAAATGATTTGTGAGGTGGTGTCCTGTCACAGCTTGTTATAAAATGCAAACACTATTTACATAAAATTGGAGAGATGAGAATGGATTTTATCAGTGTTTACATCTCTCTAATTTTGTGATGTTGCAAAACTTTTTTTTAAAGCTGACCTTTTATATTCTCAGGGTTTGTATTGAGAGACTTGTTTACACATTTATTCTTAATTCATCCTGAAGAAAAGGAGACACTGCAGGTTGTAAATTGCACAATGTTTATACAGACTGTTATTATTTCCACAAAGTTTTACTTTAATTGTACTGGAACCATAAGAAGGAACCTTTATCCTGACATATCTCTGGTTCTTATTTGCTATATGGTCATAAAAGTATTGGGTTTAAGCTAATGGAGTAGTTATTCACCGTGCAGCTAATGAAATGATCTTAGTGCCTCATCTCCATCTTACTAGCAGGGGCCTGATACATGCTGACAAAAAAGACAAAACATCTGCACTAAGTTCCCAACTATTTTAATATAGCAAAATTGTTGGATGTGCATGCCCTACATTTTGATTTGTGTTTCTTTGGGCCTCTTCTGACAGTTTCGTAAGAGTCTTCCTGTCACTCTGTCACTTGTAGCTCCAGTGAATTAATTCATGTGAGTTAAAGGCAAATACCTCAGTTCCAGGAGCAGCTCTTCAGTCCATCAAACGAGCTTTCAACATGGTGTAGTTGCTCTGTCACCTCGGCAGGAGCTCCATTGTGGTCAAGCTTCTCTTTTATCTGTGGGGGAAAATACATATATATCATGTAAGGCATTTTGTTGCATAGACCAAATTAACTTTTCTCAATATAGTCAAAATTATGTCAGTGGGTTGATATCTTGTTCTTATTAAGGCAATAATGTCAGTCTCTGCATTAATAATCATTTTACTAAGCTGTGAACTGTTGAGGTTTATGTAAACAAGTCTTTCAGCTATTTTAGCTTCAGAACTTAGTATAAGGCAGATTAGTTTTAGTATCTTAAGAAAGTGAAGGCAGCAATTTCTATCAAAAACAAGTTGAATTTTTGCAGTTTTGCATTGCAGTGATGACTTTTTGAGAAAGTGCTGCTCTTTTTATCAGGCTATTGCTTCCTGTTATACTGTGCAAAAGGAAAAGCAGAAGGTTTAAAATCTCATTTCCTCTACACACAGCATCTTGTATAACAGTTTTTGAGTGAGCTCACTGCTGTTTATTGTGCGCAATGTCTCAGATGCATCCAGTCTAAGGAGACAGGAATTAAAGATGAAACTAGACATAAAATTTTTTTTTATAAAATTGGACCCAAAATTATTATTTCTAACATTAGACCTTTATTTCTAACATTATTCAGTTCAGTTCACAATTTGTCACCCACAGCAGTCCTACTGAGGGGCATGAGCATGTATCACAGCTGAACACTAAGATGAAAAGGAAGATAAACATTCAAACTATAATTAGTTTTTGAAGCAAAAGTTCACAATAAGAGATAAGGGTTTTGTTCTCCGCTAAAAACAATCTTAAACTACCCAAAGTGACTTGGAAGCCCCATATGAGTGAACTAGTCTTGAATAAATGAAGAACTGACCTCTGTGAAGTACTTCTTGATATATTTGTATAGCTCTCTGAGGGCTGCAGCTTCATTGAATTCATTTTCATGTTTCTGAAATAAGAAACAGTCATCGTTTCACTGCTGGCCTTCCCTCTGCCACTTTTTTTAGATTTTGTACTGACATGGACATTACCTTTGACTCCTCCTGCAGAAAGGCCTTAAATTCAGAGTCTGTGATTGGAGACTGGTCTCTGATCTTTTTGTAGTACTCCTTCACTTCCTGCTTGAACTTGGGAATGTCTTTGGCATAGAGGAGCTTGTTGGTGGGTGCATGCTGCAACACAACAATATTTAAGGTGTGTTTATTGGTTTGCGTTCATGGGACATGGTGCATGTTTAATCCACTGTTGATTCCATCTTAGTTTACAATCTCAACACAGAAAGGAAAATGACACTTTCTGCTGTAATAATGAAATATGAGACATTTGTCTTGAACACTACCTTCCCCAGGTGGGTCTCACTCAGAGAGAAGGAATCCATGAAGGCCTGTGCAATGACAGACAGGCAGCCATCCAGATATGGAGTCTTTTCCATATCAAACACAAACTGGGGGTTTTTCAGGATGTTGACCCAAAAGCGCAGAGGCACACTGCCCAGTGGCATGAACACAAGTTAGAAATCAGTCTAATTTGATTTGATTTTTACATGAAAGCTTTCCATGCTGTCCACAGAGCTTTTTGATCACCTAGTCATACCTGTTGGTCTTCCAGATGTGCAGGACATCTGGGTCAGTGATCTTCATGTTGTCTGCCTGAGTGTCCAAGAAGTGGAAGAAGTATTTGACAGCATGTGGAGCTTTGTTGTGTGGCATCCCCCAGATGGATGTGAACAGGGCCTCCACAAAAGAATGCACCGCCACCTTACAGTGCAACAAGGCAACATCATCTCTCCAGCCAGTCCCTTTTATTTCAGAACAGTCTAAAGAAAAGTTGTCTACATATATAGCACGTTGAATAATTAATGTTAAAGCTATTAAAGGTAGAAAACAGCAACCCAAAAATAATCACTAAAGCTATGCTCACAGTAGGAGTGACACAAAATTGCTTCCTCTCCAGCATTAACACTGGTGGTAACAAAAACTGATACCGGAGACAGATTTGGTATCAGTTCAACCAAATGCACCACAACTCGCTCCTCTTGCCTTAGTGGAGAGCAGCTTGGTGAGGTGCACTTCCTTCACTTTGAACTTCTTCCGCTCTGGGTTCTTTCTTTGGTCCTCGACTATGTCAGAATCAATCTGCTGTAAACAAGACATCAGCCAATACATTAAGTTAATGTCAGCCCAAGTTAACCTTCAATATTGTGTTTTTAAAATCAAATGATTTAATGATTCACTTCTGCAAACAAAAGAATCTACGGAAGAGTATTAGGGCCACTGCATACATTTTTTTTTTAATTCTGACTTTATTCTCAGAATTCTGATTTTAATCTCAGAATTCTGACTATTCTCAGAATTCTGACTTTAATCTCAGAATTCTGATTTTAATCTCAGAATTCTGACTTTATTCTCAGAATTCTGACTTTAATCTCAGAATTCTGACTTTAAACTCAGAATTCTGACTTTAATCTCAGAAGTATGGGTACCTGTAGGGATCCAAGTTCAGTGAGTGCCTTTGAGTCATGCTGGAGAGGAGCTACGTGCTGCCCAGAAAATGTCGGATTTAAGTGAATTTTTGCGTGGTCGAGGAGTCCCAGAAGAAGCAATTTCATTAATGGAAGAGGAAAAGGTGAGTAAAAAGACTCGGTACTTATTTTACCGCTTTATAGACCCTTTAAAAGCAGGACATGCCCCTATATTAATCCAACGAAAACTGAAGGGAATGAGGGTAAAGGGAGCTAAATGTCTACATCATTTTAAAATACAACTTTAACCTAAACACTGTTCTGTTGTAATAGCGTATTAACCATTTTAATTGCTGGGTGGCACGTACATTCTATTTATGTATCATTTCAGACTCCAGAACGAAGTATTTCCTAGAACCACAAACACCGGGCTGTAGGCTACTGCCCTGAAAAGCAGCGCCAGGTTGACATCACCGATAGTCTGCTCTGTCCAAGCAGTGTAGACTATGAGGCTAGGACACCCCTGGAAGAGCCTTTCAGTCTAAATATATTCACCCCCATGGGTCAATTAGAATACTGCAGCAGAAACATAGTGGGATTAAGCAAAAGGAAATGCGTACGAACACAATTAGCATTTACATTAAGCAATAAAAAGAGCGTGACATAACGTGAGACATTATCTCTGTCTAAATATGTGCACAGGCGTTTCACTATTAGCCTGTCAATTTGTTGTTTGAACTATAAACAGAACAGTGTTTAGGTTAAAGTTGTATTTTAAAATGATGTAGACATTTAGCTCCCTTTACCCTCATTCCCTTCAGTTTTCGTTGGATTAATATAGGGGCATGTCCTGCTTTTAAAGGGTCTATAAAGCGGTAAAATAAGTACCGAGTCTATATACTCACCTTTTCCTCTTCCATTAATGAAATAGCTTCTTCTGGGACTCCTCGACCACGCAAAAATTCACTTAAATCCGACATTTTCTGGGCAGCACGTAGCTCCTCTCCAGTATGACTCAAAGGCACTCACTGAACTTGGATCCCTACAGGTGTCCATACTTCTGAGATTAAAGTCAGAATTCTGAGTTTAAAGTCAGAATTCTGAGAATAAAGTCAGAATTAAAAAAAAATGTATGCAGTGGCCCTAATACTCTTCCGTATGAATCTGTCACTTACCAAGTGGCAATATTTTCTTGAGAAGTTCTCATCATCTGGAAGAAAAACAAACTGATCATTTGCAGAAATGATCGACATTTGGTTGGTGGTTCCGTATTAATTAGAAACTATATGAAAAGCTCTGAATAAAACTGTTATGCTCTTCCCTGTCTGCAGCTGACCATGCGCCACCTCTAAATGCTTCTTCTCACAGGCTTTCAACAAGAACAGTGGGGAATGATTTTTAGCACCTATCAAGGTCACAGTAGTGGCAAAGGAGCAGGTGAAGCTACAGCAGAGAACAGTGAACAAGCAGTGGACCCACAGTACCATCACTAGAGCCATGCTACTGGTGCTGTTGAAAATAGTTTCTCCCACTGAACACTCAAGCTTCAAAGGTTGTCTTTTATCTTTATTTAGTTTTAGAAATTTCGTGATGTTGCCTTGGGTTCTGGAAAACTTGGATGTTCTTTTTTCAGTTTTTTTTTGATGGTACAGACAAAAAGGGCAAATTAAGAGAATAAATTAGCTTTAGCTAATTGAGACATACTGGATCCAAACTGAAGAATTAACTTAGACCCATCTGATGCTTAGAGAATATGTTGCACTTGATGAAACCTGATGGTTCTGTTAGATAATTTTAATTGATGCTACCTTACTGTCATTTTAGTCTGCTAGCTTAATCATATAGGTTATTTATAAGATGCTCTGAACAGAAGGGCCCATCACTTGTTATTCTCCAAGTGAAATTACATGATGTTTTACAAGTGAGCTACAACCTGTTAATTGCTTAACTTAAGATGTGTTGCTTCTGGTCAAAGCTAACCCTGGTGCTAGCTTCATACTGAAAGTACAGATGTGAATAGCATCACTTTTCTTATCAAGCTCTTAACAAGAAAGACATGCGCCAAAATGTTAAGCTATTCATTCAGTGTTCAGTCGTAGCTCCTACCTTTCAGACTTCCCTGTGGGCTCAGCGGGGGACAAATCTTTTTTGAAAGCACTTTGATTGTCGCCCCATCAGGAATCTACACGAGTCCAAACAAAACAACACATGTTACAAAATATGAACGCAACACATGATTAAAAAAACAGTTATGAAATGACTATAACAGCCCAGCACCTCAACGTTTCAAGAGGTCTATTTCTGAAATAAAACCTGTGATTTACATCACAGGTGCTTTCATTTTTTCCTCTCTCTGTTCTTTTCCTGTTCTTAGTGAATGTGTGTGATAAAGGAAATGACAGCCAGAAATCCCCCAGATATTTGTACACTGTCACTAAAGCAAGAAACATCAGCTTTTCAGGAGCTGTAAAAATGAAACTTATTTACAGTATCTGACATGCTCAATACCACTTAAACACACATTTCCTCAGAACTGAGTGATACAAGGATTATTTTATTTATTGTATAGTAGGTTTGTAATTTAGGCAACACAGTTCAGGCCACCGGGCTGCACAACAAGTTAAGGAATCTGTCTTTCCTATGCTGTAATGTTAGTCTGATACATGAACACAGCAGAGAAAGACTCCGTGATCTCATTATAAAGCCATTACACACCACCTTTCTTCCATTGGGTTGTTTGGATTTTTATAAAAACCCTCTCTTCCTTTCAGCTTTAATAACAAAGTGAAGGGAGACAGCCTTTTTACCAGCAATTTGACTGACCCACTTTGCCTCCTGGAATGGAAGCTTGTTTTGGATGTGTGGATACAGTGAAGAACTTCCCATCTCTGCTCACTGAGCTGCTGTGGACTGACTGTTAAATTCAACCCTGTCCCTGCCTATAGAAAACGATACTTCTAAATTCAACACTTTTGATTGAATTCCCAAAACAAAGTGCAAGTGTTTGGCACACTGACGTCAGAATATCTGGCTTTTGTTGTTTTAGTGTAACACCTCACAGACCACCTGGCTGTGTTATGAGGTTTGTGCATGTATGTATGTGCTGGGTTGTCTCTTTGATATGTCAGTGTTTAAAATAGCAAAGGAGGGATTTCCAACGAGGAGTTTATTTTGAATCCAATTTCTGTGAAGCTGCTCAGTGAAGTATTTATGACAACCTGCAGGCAGCAACAGTAGAAAAATATTGAAAGGAGGAGACTTGCAGGGGCTATGGTTACTCTTTGATCCAACATGTAGCAACAAGAGTTTCTGCATAAGATTATGTACTGTATGAATGATAGTTTCCAGTGATACAGATTTTTATTTGAATCCTTCTATTTCTCACCTTATAGTGCTGGAGTGTGTTGATCATCGTCACACCCCTGACAACCACTGAGCTTGCATCCACTTCCTGAAGAGGAATAAAAGATCCACTTTTCTCATATTCTGGTGGGGAAAAGTGAAAAAGATATGGTTAAAGAGCTTGAGAAGTTTTTTTGGGGGGTGGGGGGTAATAAAACAGTCAAATGAACAAATAGTTGCAACAGTTAAATCCCCATTTGTGCTTAAAGAATAAGGCTGGTATTATTTCAAATTTTTCTTATTGTCAACAAGCTCATAGGTCAAAATCTTTAAAAACATTTATAAAAGCTAAATCATTTTGTAAAAATGCTGGGTACTGTAGTTTTTAGCAAATATTACTGGATCTGGTGGAACTACTACCTTTATTGGGGCTCATTTGATGCACCACCAGTATGATGTATGTGACACTGGCTTATAAGGAACTACAGTGTCCATGTTCGTGGTAATGAGGAATTACCACAAACATCAGATGATCAACTTTCAGATTTTTGTTTTCAGTGTCTAGGACAAGATGTGCTGACACTGACCAACAGAAGCACAGATAATTACTCTCTTCACATTCTGTCATATTGGACTGAACAATATTCATTAAATATCATAAGTGACTTTCACAGTCAGCCTTGTGAAGTACTGTAGCTACCCTATCAGGGTTAGCTAGCTAGTTTTTGGGTTTACTACCGGCTTAAAACATTTATTTATAACTGCTACTTCAAGATTTTCATGAAGGAGAGACAACACAGGCTGCTGCGCTCTTCATGCAACCCCCCGTTATGACCATTAAAAACAATGGTCATAAGCCATTCTCTAAATATGATCGCTAATCAAAATGGTATGTGCACAACACCCCGGAACACCTTGTGACCACCGAGTACTGCCTTGCCCTTCTGATTCAGACTGTTTTCTGTGTTTGGACTATCGGACTCCTCTCTCTGACCTCTCGTTTGTGAATCCCTTGTCTGTGTAAGTGTTACGTCCACGGATCAGGCCGTCCCCGGCACCTCGGCAGCTGTTACCGGGGCTATCAGTGACTCCAGCCCTGCTCACGTAGGAGCACGCTCCCAGCGACGAGGTATGGCTCAATTAGCTGAACCATACTTAAACACAGCGCTGGTGTGTCCTCGTCGCTAGATTATCTCTCAGTCTTCCGCCGGTGACTTCGCGTGTTTCACGTCCTTGATCCTGATGTCTACTAAGATCATCCTACTCTGGCATATTGATGTTATCCACTGTGTCGACTTGAGTGAGTTTCTCTGTCTTGTTTACGGTTTTTTCTTGAACTAATTACCAAGGAGTATCTTCTGTTATTTTTGGAACTGACTATTGGGGAGATCTTATGTTTATTATCTTTAAAAAGGCAACATGATGCACATCATGAAAAAGCTAATTGCGCAACCAGTAAATTAGGAAACAGATGCATATCTGTGCTGCATGCAATGTGTTGGCTGCAAGATCAGGCCCTTGGCCTTTGCAAAGGAAAGCAATTAAACCACACTCATTAACTTAGACTTGAGAAAAGGACAAGGAGATGAGACAACACAGGTCTGTTGCTGACCTATACAAACGTGTCTGACGGGGGTGTTGTAGGGGAACCCAAACTTGGCCTGGAAGGTAGATAGGATTTTCTCCTTAACCTGCTCTACTGCGTCACAGCTGAGGACATCAACCTCCAAGGGCTCACTGACCTCCCCATCACTGCCTACTGCAAACAGCACCTTCAGCTTCTGCAGATGACAGACACACATGTTGTAATAATTCATTACATAGTTGTAATGAAGTTTCCCCCTTCATATAATGTACAATAACAACCAAAACCTCATCAAAGCAAGATCTCTTATATAACACATTTTAATAATATTGGCACTGTCAGTAAGTGCTGAGTCACTGTTGGAAAGTATAATGCAGCTGTGGGGGTGTAATGGCATCTCTGTATGGAGCGATGCCATTACAGGGGATATTTGAGTGAAGATGTGGTTAACGAAAGGCTTTCAAGACAGTAGCACTTGAGTTCTTATCTCCTTTTTGCAGTTCTGTGGTTAATTCTTGCACCATCTAATTGACGTAAGTGAGCATTAAAATGAAATGGTTTGTTAGGTTAGATAAAACATTCATGGCTGCTATGGGTTGGGTCGCTGTAGCAGCAGAGAGAAGGAAATGTAAAATAAGGATGAGTGAGAAAGGTGTTCTGGTGATAATTCAGTTGTTCTTTGCTACGGGTTTGTAAATATATCAGAATACTGTACATAATGTACATCATATGTGCTTAAATTATATTCAGTATGTGCAAGTATCACAAGTACAGTAATGTACCATGAATGTGTACATGTGTATTGTTAGCTTTCTGTCATATATTTGATGCTATGCTGGTCACATTGAATACTGTGTGACCTGTAGGAAGAGTGATGAGCCCAACTTTACAGGTCCCCTCAGTCCTACCATTTTCATCAGTGTAATTTGTGGCCACAGCTGAATTTGGTGAAATAGCTCTGATAAACCTATTATGCATGACCTGCCCAGTACCAAACAGCAGACAGACAGTTAGCGACTAGCAGGTGAACATATTAAAGCATTTAGCAAACCTCTTAGTGAAACAACTAAAAGTATACTGTACTTGCATTCATCAGGTGGCCAGAAACCCGACTATGAATGAATGCTAACATTGCTCCATGTCTGCAGCATGTGTATATAAAATAGTCTTTACTAACACAATTGCAATATTGACTTTTATTACTATTATTTTCTATAATATTTAGTATTTGTGACTAAAAAGGCAAAACAGCAAAAGCTTTATGCACTTTAGATGTTTAGATTCTCATCAACCAAGCAATTCCCTCAAGAAGGCATCTGATCAGTCCCATGTTCATTTTGTAGCATGACAACATGGGGTCAGTGTGGGATTACATGAAGAGACAGAAGACACCAAAACAGCCTAAATCCAAAGAACTGTAGCGGGCTTTCCAAGATGCTGGAACAATCTCCTTGCTGAGTATGTTAAAAAAACTATGAACAGGTATACCAATATGAACTGTGCTGTTTTCAAGGCAAAGGTAACATTATTTATTTATTTATAGCTGCACAAAGGTCGAAGCTAACCAATGAATTAAAATTATAAATCCTATTAATTTTCAATGTATCCTGACTTACTTTTACTAAAAACAGTGCTGTATATTTTTGAGTGTGTCAGGATCTATTTTAGAACTTCTCTGCTGTGCAACAGCCAGAAACTTTGTTTCTTAATATAACTGAACAATTTTAATAAAGCCAATATTTTCAGGGGAAGTGCTGTTTTGTGTGTTCAGCAGTCTAAAGATACATGGAGATGGATGCGGTTTAGTACTAGCAGCTGTGTACTGACAAACTGTCTCCATATTCTTATTTGCAGTCTTTCACTGCCACAAGGAAATGTCCTGTATCGGGTTTTGCATCTTTTGATTGTCTTAGAAACGGGGTGAAAAGCATAATATCAGGACCCGCCTCTCAGCAGAGCATGCTAATCTGCACCCCAGCCCGGTCGTCTGCATTACTACATCCTGAATGACAAACAGAAAAATTAAGCAACAGGAAATGTCTGTTTTCTTCAAAAAAAAAGGAAAGAAGAAAGAGATGGCAGCGCATTATGAAAAAATAAAGTAAGAATTAGGAAGTATTAAGGTTACTTCCACAGAACAAGCACAACTGATTATGTGAAGTAAGTAAACCACCACTAACAATGGAAACTTGTGTTTGGACTCACTTCCAGTAAGCGTGTAAAAGCCCTGAAATGCACATTATCCGTGTGTGTGTGTGTGTGTGTGTGCGTGCGTGTGTGTATATGTGTACCAGGGGGCTGAAGTCCTGAGTCTGCGACAGCAGCCAGTCCTCACTGAGTGTATACAGCGATTTCTCTGTCACACAGTCCACAGGTCCTTTGGCAATCTGCTGCTTGAGAGCGCTCACCATTAAAAACAGGTGCTGACCAACATTTTCCTGTAAAAAATCAGAAACAGGAACTTAGTTGGTCCTACAAAGCCTAAAGCTGTGGTAACTTTTGGCAGTGCCAACCAGTTAGTATCTTGCACATTCTGGTTTATACCAGTCTACCAAATGAGGCAGGGCTTGTAAACCACCATCACATGTGTAGAAGCTATGAGAATTTAGTACTGACAGACAGTGTAGTGGATATGTTATGGACTGTATTTACAATACTGACCTATAACATATTAATATGAATGATAGCTTTACAGAGCTAATATCTGTAACCATGTTACAAACCATGTTGCCTGTGGGCAAAGGAGGACGGGATGTGACTGAAGCAATATTGGTTTCTAGAAGGACTTTAAACAGAAAATGATTATCAAATGTTGATCTCAAGACAAGCATGCAGCAGTGTAAAATACAGCACAGAAAATATTTTAAGGACAACAGATCAAGTCATTGCTTCTGCATGGTTTGAATGGTAACTCAGTGGTCCTGCACTCAGGAGTTATGTAAATTGGGAAAGACAACTTGAGTGACGGCTTCCACAAAATGCTGTACTTGTGTACTGAACAAACTGTGAAACCATTTGAATAACACATGGATTCTGATTCATGCTCTGTGTGGTGTAATTTAGTTTAGCACCAGAGACCAAAATCTTTTTTATGTCACACACTGTTATTTCAACAAATTTCCATAAAGACAAAGGTGATTCAAAAATAAAGACAGTTTACTGACTCTGTGAAGTTGCACTTAACACTGCTATCAGCTGTAGCCTAACATCAGCATTCTAGCTTATGTGCAACAATGCTAACATGCTGATGTTTAGCAGGTGTAATGTTTATGTTAAACATCTTAGTTTAGTGTAATAGCAAATAAACTAAATAGCACTAAATGCAAAACCAAAATTTTGGAGGGACTGAAACTGCCAGATTCTCCATAAATTTCTGCATCAAAATCTACGCCAATCCCTCTATGTTGAGATAGTTCTCTCAATAAGTGAAGTTTTTGAACGTTTGGTAGTAATGGATAAAAGGTCCCCAAGGATTCATCTTCTGGGGAGCATGACTGTTTATATACAAAATTTCATGGCAACTGTAGAGTGGTTTTATATTGTTGTGCATTTCAGTCTTGACCAAAACAGTACACCAACAGACAAACATACAAACACACAGCCATACCACCAACATGGCTAAAAATATTTATGAAGTTTTAACAGAAGTTCAAGCAGGAAGACATCTGTCAGTCACCGGCGACATCCCTTTCCTTATCCAATCAGTGTACAGCATTTGGCACACAGACATGCCTATCAGCTCATGATCCCTAATTTCCACCAGATGCAGGTGCATTCTGTCCGTGACCTGGTTCTGAATTGTCCTCTGTACAGCTTCATCCCCCACTGGGTGTGTCCACAGAGTGGCCCACTGTGGTGCTGATTTTATGTGTTGGCTATATTTCCTGGCTTTTGAGCTTCTATAGTAAACAGGCTTTGTAATGGTTTCTATTGTGTCCATTTTAATTACGTTTATTGATCTTATTTCCTACTTGTGCTCCAGCCTACAGACAAAGATGACAGTTAGGTTAAATTTAATTTAAAGAGCCCATGGCATGCTTTTCTGCGTTTTCTGACTTATCAGAAGCAACTCAGTTTATACAAGTCTTGCAAACTCTTACTGTTGAGACTTTTTTCCAACTATGCAAGTCTTATGCAATAGTTTACAGATTTCCTTCAATGGTCATATTCTCCAGGCTATGTGCACTCATGTGAGCTTGCCTGACATTTACTGGTGCCATTATTAAAGCAGAATTTTTTTGAGTGAATGCGGTTTTGTGGTTACATTTTACCTCTTGCTGCCTGCAAGAGGATGTAGAGAATAATAGAAAATATAGAGAATAATATAGGGCCTAAGGTTACTGCATGTCCAGGAATATTCAAGGTACAGGGATCCACTGTTTTACCTGACTGGGTCTAATGGAGTGGCTGGAAACCTACAAACAGCCGGCCAGTCAAGCACCCTAGGGCAGTGAATGATCAGCTGATCAAGACTGGATTCCTCTGGAGTACAGTACCTGTTTGTTTTGACCTCTTAAGGTCTTGATGTGTTGTGGGTTGGTGAGAGGATTCTAACAACCCTTGATATTACTGTGCAGTGCTACCTGTTGTAATTAATTTCACTACTTTGTGAATTTTTCTGGTCTGTGGGGGAAACTGCAGCAAGCATAGGTTGGGTTTACAGACCTTGGAGCTACTTGAAAGGGAATAAAGTTGCCACTACTCAGTGGGACATAACAGTAAGTAAAAAAAAAAGCACACACAGGTTGCATGCCTGTTAATGCATTGTTTCTGTAGATAATTGTTGTAAAGCTGGAGAAGTTACTATGTCTGCATTATGCCAGTTAAAATATGGGGTTTCTCAATTAACCGCTTTGTTTAGAGTGTTACAAATCTCTTTTCATCAGTACATATACTTTTGTTTATCTGTGGAGAAGAAATTCAAATTAACTAATGCTGTTGCAATTTGTGGTGCAGTACACATTCATATTTTGGCTCAAACATGTCAGGTAGGATGTGAGGTATTGGCACTGTCGAGAATGTAGCATATCTGTCAGTGTTTTTTGTTTATGCATTGTCCTGGCTTCAGGGCCGGTCTTGTGTTGAAAAGTGTTTCCCCATCGAGATGCGTTTCCTCTGTTCAAAACTTGGTTTGACATAGCCCACATGTAGGCCAAAAATTTGGGTCCATGCAGACCAGTCCACACAGCAAAAGCTCAACTGCCCATGTGCCACAATGGTTGGAAACCATCAGTGCATGCAGACAGAAGGCAGACCCTGTAGGAATAGGAACGCGTGAAAACCCCTCGTCCATGTCCATGTGTTCATAAGGGTATGCACAAAACATGAATTCCCCTTAGGTTGTGGCCACAATTTACTGAGGTTTTATTTTCTCCCCCAGCTTCACCAGAGGGGCTCCGTAAGTAACACAGACCAGCAAAGACTAAAAGATATGTATGAGTAACAAACCCGGAGGAAGCCATAAAGGCATATGGACATCCAGTTGGTCAGCAGTTTTTCCACTATGGACTCTGTGCGTCGTAGTTAGGCTGATCCTTGCCATTTCGCTTCATCCGAGCCTTCAGCAGGCCCTCCATCACTTCTGTCAGGTATGACAAGTTGCTGTGGAGTGCTACAGTCAGTAGGGATGCCAATGTACACCTGTATCAAAAAAGAATAAAATGAGAGTGTAGGCACATGAGTTCAAACACAGTACAATCAATGCAGAAGAAGAAGAGCACAAAACATACATTATCTATACCACTTATCTTGAAAATAGTCACAGGGGGCTGGAGCCAATCCCAGCTGTCACTGGGTGAGAGTTGGGTTACACCTTGGACAGGTCACCAGTCTATCACTTACAGACAAACAACCACCCACTTCTACAGGCAATTTAGTCACCAATCAACCTAAGCTAGATGTTTTTGGGCAGTGAGAGGAAGCCGGTGTACGCAGAGAAAACCCACACAGGCCCAGGGAGAACATACAAACTCTACACTGAAAGGCACTGGTCTCAGAGGAGGCTTGAACTTGGAGCCTTCTTGCTCTAAGGCAACAGCATTAACCACTGTTCCACCATGCCACCCTTTAGTAAACAAATAATCTAATGGATGAATAAAGATGAGATAGAGATGACAAACCATTAAAAAATTGTTTTGCAGACAACAATGGAGATAGGTGAATCCACTGTGTTGAAAACTTTAACTCCCAATAACGCTAAATCAATGTGAGCCCTGAGCTCGTTTCTCTGCAACGAGACGGTCCCATCTGGGGGTAATAGGAGACAATGAATGACACCCGAAGTGTGTTGCTTATGTCCAGTCTACTCCGTTGTTTTGTTTTGGTTGCTGTCACTGCAGAAAAACCCGCTTCACACAGATAGGATGTCGGAAATGGCAACAGGGTTTTCAGTGCTGTGGTTTACGATCTCAGGGTATTCTGTCATGACTTTAATCCAGAACACCGGCAGAGTTGTTGTCTCGAACATACTTTTAAGGCCGCCGTCATTTGCGATCTCCAGCAGTTGATCTTCTTCTTGCACAGACCTGCTGGATTCACCTGGTTTGTTGACAAATGGGTTGCGGATCCCTTCCTTGGCAGTTCGTGGGTCCTTTGTGGTTGGGAAGTAGCGCTCGAACTCTTTTAAAAGCAAAGACATGTGATCGTGCACCAGCTGGGAGAATGAAGACTCAGGCTCAGTCTCACCCAAAGTCTCATGTTTGAAACATGTCCAAAATGCCTCTGTTGACGCGCCGTCCCCACAAATCCAGTTTGGCTTTAAATGCAGCTACTTTATCTGCCAACTTGAAGACAGTTGTCATTTTCCCCTGAAGTGACAGATTGAGTTCATTGAGCAGGCTGAATATGTCCACAAGTAAGCCAGTTTTGGCGCTCAAGTGACCGAGATGTAACCGAGAGAATACGGTCATTTTTCAAAATAAAAGATCGTTCAGACTCAGATAATAAATAAAACGGAAATAATTAATGATTTCTTGTGCGGCCCGGTACCAATTGATCCACGGACCGGTACCGGTCCGCGGCCCGGGGGTTGGGGACCACTGGTATACAGTACTGGTAAGGAAGCTGAAGAACAGAACACCATAAAGTAGAGTAAGATGTGATGCATCAGGCTGTATACAACAGACAGGTACACAAACAGACTTTCATAAGAAAAATATGACAAACTGACTTGTCTTTGATCGTGAAGCTCTTCTGCTCCTCTAGTGCATGCACCATAGATGTGAGGAAGAGCTGGTCCTGGATCAGCCTGGATAAGCCCTGGCAACATTCATCAAGCTGAGCCTTCACCATGTCCTGATCCCAGGTTAGACATAAGAATACATCACTGATCCATCACTGACAAAACCTTACAAACATCTATAATAGCTAGTGTAAAACCTTACCTGACCAATGTCTTTGATGCATGATTTCATTAAAGATTCATTCTGGGAAACAGAAAAACAAAAGTGCTCTGGCAGCTCTGTCTAAATCTGGCAATAACAGTGCATTTAATATTTTATAATTTACAGCACTGGTTTCTCAGATATAAACTTTTGTTCACTTCTACCTCTACTGTACCTCAGGAAAAAAGATTCTGGAGGCAAAGTGCTTGTAGTCCAGGAAAGGAATTGCTCCAGCATTTTCCATCAGATTATCTGTCTCGGTCTGCAGATCCACAAAACCTGCAGGGGAAAGTTCAGTGAGGCTGCTAAATAATCTGGCACAGTGCCCAAGCAGATAATGTACAGTATATTTTTCTTTCTTTTTTGCTTTCTGTCAGACTAAAAAACAAACTTGTAAAAAAAAGCATCAGTTTGCAGGTCACAAAGAAAAAGATGCTGTGAAAATGGGTGTGAATTGGTGCTGCACTCACTAACTGATCTTACGCCTCTGTAGGCTCTAAACAGATTACCACATATGAGACCATTTGTAAGAAAATATGTATATAAAATGCATTTTTTTTTAATACCACCATGAGACAAGTTTGAGATAAGAAAAATGCGACAGGTTCAGGATATTTTACAACAGAAAAGGTAAGTGCATGTATGTGTGTTGGGGCTCATTGAACTGAAGACATAGTAGTAGACTTACAGTGAAGTGGTTAAACAACAGTGTGTGATAAAGTTGAAACCTATCAAACATGAGCAGATGTAGTTTCCCCACTCTGCAATTGCAAAGTGGGAGCATGTTACAACATGTGCAACTGACCTAGGAGACCAATGTCGAAACTTTAAAATGCTTTCTAGTGCTAGAAACTATGGGAGAAACTCTGTTTTATGTACGTAAAGGGCTGTGTTTGTCCACAAAGAAAGGGAATATTTTGTGGAGGTTTTTTAAATTACAGTGCATCAGAAAAATCAGCAACAAGGCCCTGTGAGGGTGTACGTAAGCACATAGTGCTTTGGGCTAAGCTAGCATCATCACACTAATGTGTCCACAATGACAATGCCAGCATGCTGATGTTTAGCAGGCATGATGGTTTATTATGATACATTTACAATGACTATGGTGATAGTCATAGTTTTTCATAGTCACCATCTTAGCTTAGCATGCTAGCATGCTAATACTCACACTGACAAAGTACAGCTGAGAGTGATGACACATTTTGCAGGTATATGATGATGACACTGGATAAAAAGCTAATATAGCCACATGGACAAGTCTCATGCCTCAAGAAGAGGACATTAACAAACACTGCTCCACCAGAGTTAACTAAAAGTCTGTAGCTCCTGGGCTGATGTTATAAAAACCATACTGAGTTTCCTTGCAGGTGTTTGTATTGTTTTGTGCACATATATTTCTGCTTGAGCTAGTGTCTTTAGCTATCTTTTGCAGAATGTGAGCATTTGGAACATACTGAGTACACAGATGTATAGCAGGAGAAGGAGATTATGTTAGACAGATATAGGATCAGTAGCTAGATATAGGATCAATGGATGGATACAGTAGCTCCTAGGACTGAGGTGTGAAGTGGGTGATTAATGACTCTGATGTCACTGGCCCTGCCCACTTTTCCACATATCACTTCAGCCTAGATCAAAAAGGTCAAGAAGAAGCTTTATTTTTTATTGTCACTGTAACATGTGCAACAAAATTTTGTTTGGAGCTGAGGGGCCCCAGCATTCCTATGCGCTGCCATCACGGGCAACTTGGGCGGTTCAGTGTCTTGCCCAAGGACACATGTGGACTGCAGGCACCGAGATTCAAACCTTCAAACTTCCGGTTGGGAGATGACTGCTCTACCCACCACACCAGTGGGGAATGGCGGCTCTTTCTCACCCTAGATAAGGTTCAAGGTAGGATATTCTTGTTTCAAAATTTGCTAGTTTTCTTTTCAGAATTTCTGTAATTAACTATTAAACAAAATATTTTAGAAACATCTTTTAATGGGCAGCAGTTTCTTTAACTGCCATGCAAAGTTTTCAACTTTAACAAAACTTACCATTATATTCCCTTGAGTACTGAAAACATTAAATCCAACACTTAGCAAAATTTAATCCAACAGGTAATGTGTAGTGTCCACAGGTCCAAAGTAGACATTTTGGATGTGACGTTTTACTCAGAATATCTATAATTAAACATTAGACTTTGATTCTAGGCATTGAGAGCAGCCAGAAGACTGCCACCTGCAAAACTGCTCTCTTGACTGTCTCTCTCCTTATCAGACAGAGATTCCAGGCCCTGTCTTCAGAGGCCACAACCCTCTCCCTCACGGACCCACACCTATGACCCTAGACAATAAGTTACAATTAACTCAGAGAGGTCTAGGACTTTTGGTTCCCTCTTATCTGATCAGTCTCCAAGGTAATGAAACACAGGAATGCAGGGAATCTTTGTTATCTGCACACAGGCTGTGAAGAGTGCTTTAAACTTCTGTAAAAGCTCCCTTTGGATCAAGAAATGTTTGAGTCAGACTGATGATGGACACAAATAACTAGTCACAATGGTTACATACAGTAACCCAAGCTTCTATGAGTATAGGCGTAGCCCTCTAAAAGTTGTTGCTATTGGGTTTACCCCTGGGACTATGTCTCTCGGATGGCCTGGGAACACCTCGGCATTACCCCGGAGGAGCTGGAGGAAGTGCTTGGAGAGAGGGAAGTCTGGGCATCTCTGCTTAGACTGTAGCCCCTGCGACCTGGTTCCGGATAAGCGGAAGAAAATGGATGGATGGGTTTATCCCTTCCGCACACGTAGTCCTGGGGAGATTCCCTTCACACCCTGTGCCCTACCCTGGGCTACTCTGCTGTGGCCGCATAAAAGCCTATGTCACCTGAGTTCGGCTCCCTATGTCAGCACTTTTTCTTCAGCCGGCAGAGGTAGAGACGGTGAGTCTGCAAGCTTACTACTCATCGAAGCTTGGGTTACTGTATGTAACCACCGTTCTATTTCAGAATCAGAATCTGCTTTATTGGCCAGGTGTGTCGGACACATGAGGAATCTGACTCTGGTACGTCGGCTCTCAATGTGCAGGTACATATCCCCATGCAAGGTGCAAGTAAATAGTAAACCAACATAAAGGCTAGTATAACAAAACA